ATGAAACAGAATGAGAAGTTTCGCTCGCCCCTGTACCAGCGTCTGGACATTTTCGTCAGCCAATCGCATCGCGGGGGCGTGGCTTCGTTTCTTCCGATGGACCGCGAGTGCCTTGTTATTATAATTTTCTAAAAATTCTTAAACAATAACTTTCAAATTTAAGTTTCTAAAAAGAATGTGTAGTATCTATGTATGAAATCAGGTTCCAACGTACATAAAACCAAATTGCGTATCAACACCATAACAGATAAAGAAGGTAAAGCCAGGGTCGCAAAATCGCCTAAACGTAAACGGACGAGCAGGCGAACGTGCAGCTCAGTGTTGTTGTTATGGTGGGAAGGAGAGGACTTACGCAGCGAGCATGTGAGTATTTTAAGTCTTAATTTCGCGCTTAGAACATCAATTTCTATCATATATACGTGAGGAAATAATCGCCGTCTGTCGCTCTACGTGCCGATGTAATGCATGCCTGGAATCACAACTAAACGCGAGTGCAAAAGGGATATTTTGGAAGGAACGTGGAAACGGCCTGGGGTTGTGTTGTTGCAGCGGTTGCAAAATTTGATCAATATATATTGCCAACAAACCATGCCCCTTCTGCCCTGCTCTGTCATCCCATTGGCATATCTCCTTGCAACAAATTTTCACCCGAGTTGGTCGCGAAATGTTGATAATTGAAGCTGATTGAGTTTCAAGACTTGAAGTATGCCATGACAGACGTGACAGTATGACGTTTAGCAGCGAGTGCATGTGCAACACGAGGGACTAAATTTGCAGCCCAGAATTATGTGAATCGTGGGTTCTGAATAGTAATTTTCGCATTGAGCGTTCCGTTTTCGTCATTCATAAAATGCGACGTATTTTGCACAGATGTGATTAACAAAATATATTTTTGGTTTTGGGCCATTTGTTTCCTATCGTTGGGTTCAGAGTCGAGGTTTTTGGAGGAAATGGTGAATCAGAAAGAGAAGATGATAATATTAGATGTTTGAATAATTACTAGTATATGAAACATTGGAATTTTGAAATGCAGAAAAGCAAGTCATACAGAAATGACCACTAGAAATAAGAGGCCTATCAAAAATTTCAGAACACTTTTCTCAAACTTGTTAAGTGTTTTAAACCAGTGACAGTAATTGAAAATTACCCATCACAAGAACAAATATGTATGCCATGGCAGGTGTGTGCATGTACAGAATTCTCAGGCAGTAGCACCTTGTTAGTATTATTATTTTGCTGCTTCATAGTATATGTAAATAAGATTAGAAGTGAAAGACTTTATAACCTTTTTGCACGTTGTAAGGTTATTTTATTTTTATTTTTATTTTTACTTTTATATATTTATTCTATTCTATTTTATTATTATTATTTCTCTCTCTCTCTCTCTCTCTCTCTCTCTCTCTCTCTCTCTCTCTCTCTCTCTCTCTCTCTCTCTCTCTCTCTCTCTCTCTCTCTCTCTCTCTCTAAGGTACAATTTCAGGAAAGGGTTTCACTCAGGTGTCTAAAGTCCTATGGTTTCGTGAAAAAGGCATTGTAATTGGATAGTTTGCTTTATGCCAGTTAAGTGAGTTGTATGGCTTTTGAGCTAACGTGTATGTTACCTGTTTGCAGTATGTTCCCTTGTCATTAAAAGTTCATCTATAGATTATGGAAAAACAGTTCATTAATTTTTTTTTTTTTTTTTTTTTTTTTTTTTTTATTCTATTGACAAAAGGATAAATGATTATGAAGTTTTCCCATTTCAAATATGCTACTGCTTTTCGTCTGTGAAAATTAAAAACTTCTATGATAATGAAGCTTTTAGATCTTTTGTATAAAGTAAATTATTGATTCTCATTTCTGGAAATATGATGTGACTTACCATTGTTTTGTAATGTTATTGCTGCATTCTGACACTTAATACCCCCTCTCTCCCCCTCCCCCTCCCCCTCCCCCTTCCCTTTCCCCTTCCCCTTCCCTTTCCCCTTCCCTTTCCCCTTCCCTTTCCCCTTCCCTTTCCCCTTCCCCTTCCCCTGTCCTGTCAGTTGAGTGAACAATTGAATTACACTTTTATAGTCTACCAGAGTAAGGTCAGCACCATTGTATGAAAATTATAGAGAATATAACAATTGATTTGCATACTTTTTTTGGTCTCATACCTCCACAGTAATATGAAGCAGTAGTAAATGGATTGGTAAAATTTGAGTTTTTTTCCCAAGGATTTACTGATGAATTGCACTGTTGCATTATAACATGGCTGAAGCCTGCTGAATGCTGAAATAGTTTCATGAAAGGCACATGCATTGTGTGATAGTAGGAAAGGAGATCAAGGTTTTGTGTATTGCTTGACCTTGCATTGACATTATATATATTTAGGTTTATTTTCTTAGGGGATATTGTCAAGAGAATTTGTTTGTTTGTTTGTTTATATTCTGTGTTTAACAAGATTGTTTTTGTATCTGGTTTGATATGCTGTGAGTAGATCTCATCTTGACTTCTTGACTTTGCTTTTAGAGGTGAATGTGGTATTAGTTTGTTACTGAATTTTGGATCTTTCTAAGCCCCTTAGATGTGTCATGCATCAGTCATGCCAAGTGATAGTGGTAAAAGTTTGTGTGTGTGTGTGTGTGTGTGTCTGTGTCTGTGTCTGTGTGCATTTTTATTCAGTAATCTGTAAGGTTGTTTCCTTGGGTGTTGTACTAGTTGTTATGCAAAGAGGAAAACAATAGCAATCTCTGTAAGGGGAAAATGAGATTGCATATTTTCTATTTATTGTTTTATGCTGTAAGGTTGTTTCCTTGGGTGTTTTACTAGTTGTTATGCAAAGAGAAAACAATAGCAATCTCTGTAGGGGAAATGAGATGCATATTTTCTATGTATTGTTATGCTGTATGTATTCCATTTTCTAACTTTTCATGCAGCTCTGCCACTTTGTTTTGATTTATCATATAAAATGTTCATATTTTTCTGTGAACAGTGAATATTTAGAATATTTGGTATGAATGATTTTATTATTTACCATTGTATTGACTAATTTTGGATGATTCAGAAAACCTGTGGTTATAGAGGTGTGTGTGTGTGTGTCTGTGTGTGTGTGTGTGTGTGTGTCTGTGTCTGTGTCTGTGTGCATTTTTATTCAGTAATCTGTAAGGTTGTTTCCTTGGGTGTTTTACTAGTTGTTATGCAAAGAGAAAACAATAGCAATCTCTGTAGGGGAAATGAGATGCATATTTTCTATGTATTGTTATGTTGTATGTATTCCATTTTCTAACTTTTCATGCAGCTCTGCCACTTTGTTTTGATTTATCATATGAAATGTTTATCTTTTTCTGTGAACAGTGAATATTTAGAATATTTGGTATGAATGATTTTATTATTTTCATTAATATTGACTAATTTTGGATGATTCAGAAAGCCTGTGGTTATAGAGGTGTGTGTGTGTGTGTGTGTGTGTGTGTCTGTGTCTGTGTCTGTGTCTGTGTCTGTGTCTGTGTCTGTGTCTGTGTCTGTGTCTGTGTCTGTGTCTGTGTCTGTGTCTGTGTCTGTGTCTGTGTCTGTGTCTGTGTCTGTGTCTGTGTCTGTGTCTGTGTCTGTGTCTGTGTCTGTGTCTGTGTCTGTGTCTGTGTCTGTGTCTGTGTCTGTGTCTGTGTCTGTGTCTGTGTCTGTGTCTGTGTCTGTGTCTGTGTCTGTGTCTGTGTCTGTGTCTGTGTCTGTGTCTGTGTCTGTGTCTGTGTCTGTGTCTGTGTCTGTGTCTGTGTCTGTGTCTGTGTCTGTGTCTGTGTCTGTGTCTGTGTCTGTGTCTGTGTCTGTGTCTGTGTCTGTGTCTGTGTCTGTGTGTGTGTGTGTGTGTGTGTCTGTGTCTGTGTCTGTGTGCATTTTTATTCAGTAATCTGTAAGGTTGTTTCCTTGGGTGTTTTACTAGTTGTTATGCAAAGAGAAAACAATAGCAATCTCTGTAGGGGAAATGAGATGCATATTTTCTATGTATTGTTATGCTGTATGTATTCCATTTTCTAACTTTTCATGCAGCTCTGCCACTTTGTTTTGATTTATCATATAAAATGTTCATATTTTTCTGTGAACAGTGAATATTTAGAATATTTGGTATGAATGATTTTATTATTTACCATTGTATTGACTAATTTTGGATGATTCAGAAAACCTGTGGTTATAGAGGTGTGTGTGTGTGTGTCTGTGTGTGTGTGTGTGTCTGTCTGTCTGCCTGTCTGTGTGCATTTTTATTCTGTGTATCATTTCATTAATCTGTAAGGTTGTTTCCTTGGGTGTTTTACTAGTTGTTATGCAAAGAGAAAACAATAGCAATCTCTGTAGGGGAAATGAGATGCATATTTTCTATGTATTGTTATGCTGTATGTATTCCATTTTCTAACTTTTCATGCAGCTCTGCCACTTTGTTTTGATTTATCATATAAAATGTTCATATTTTTCTGTGAACAGTGAATATTTAGAATATTTGGTATGAATGATTTTATTATTTACCATTGTATTGACTAATTTTGGATGATTCAGAAAACCTGTGGTTATAGAGGTGTGTGTGTGTGTGTTGTGTGTGTGTGTGTGTGTCTGTGTCTGTGTCTGTGTGCATTTTTATTCAGTAATCTGTAAGGTTGTTTCCTTGGGTGTTTTACTAGTTGTTATGCAAAGAGAAAACAATAGCAATATGTGTAGTTTAGATGTATGAGTATATATATCTAGATAGTGGAGGCATTAAAATATATATGTGTAAATATATTTATATATATGTGTGTATGTATATTTATATGTATGTGTATATATATTTATATGTATGTGTATATATATTTATATGTATGTGTATATATATTTATATGTATGTGTATATATATTTATATGCATATGTATATATAAACAGGATTATGTTCATTCATAATAGAAGAATCTGAAGTAGTTGATTTATTAGATGTAGTTATGTATATTTTTTATTTCTTTTTTTTTTTTTTTTTAGAAAGGTGTGTGAAAGGATTTTTCATACATATACTTTCTGTCACTTTCATGCTGTATGTTATATCTGTATACTTGGAGCATACCTTTTTTGTAATAATAAGTATTTAATCCTTCACAGAAAAGGGAAATATTTATTTTAAATACTAGTATGTTATTAAGTCTTCAGAATTTGTTTTTTTGTCACTAGCAAATAGATATTGCAGATAAATTAAAATGTGTATTGAATTGCAGAAGGACCTGCATTTTACTCATTTTGAAGCTCATAACAAGCTGTTCTTGCCTAGCAAATAGCAATACTAAAAGAGTAACATAGTTAAAAACAGTCACCTTGTAGCAAACCAGAAGGCAAAAAAAAAAAAAAAAGGAAAAAAATAATAACCAGTAATAAATCCCTCGACACCAACGCACAGTCCTGACCAACACATGCCCCATCCCCCTCCCCCCCCTCTCTCTTATACCCACCAAACTTATAGTCACTGGCCCATTGTGTTGCAGGTCAGGGGAGCTCCACTCTCCCAGTAAGAAGAGGTAAAAAAAAAAAAAAGAAAAAGAAAAAAAAAAAATCATGCACCGTTTCTGAACATTGCCGTGTCTGACCTGGTGGCTTGGTTGAATACTAACTGGTGTTTTGGGATGATTGATTTTGACTTTTTTTTATAATTTATTATTATAAATATAAGTAGTTGATTATTTAGTTATTTTACTTATGGTGTAATGTTCTCTTTATACATAACAATATATATATATATATATATATATATATATATATATATATATATATATATATATATATATATTATATTTATATTGTTATATAACTACTGGATTGGTATAGTAAATAAGAAGCTCATGTTTAGCCAGAGGGACATTTAGACTGTCTAACAGTTATTTATTGTTATCATCATTATTATTGTTATTCTTGTTATTATTATTGGTACAGTTACTACTACTACTAATACTCAGGGGCATCATTTGGAGGGACTGGGGGGACAATTTCTCCCCCCTAGACTGATTGCCCCCCTCAAGATCTGGGGCGGTGCTTGCAACACCCCAGTTGAAATGATGCACCTACTACTATTACTACTACTACACCATCATTATGATTTCTTTTATTGTTATTGATGTTGTTATTTTGTTCATGTGTTTTGTATATATATATATCAGTGAGTGGCTTTGTGGAAGTTACAAGGAATTCAAAGGCTTAGTTTAACTAGAGAGAGAAAGATATTTTTTAGCCATGATTTTAGCTCTTCGGTTTATACTGGAAAAGATGCTTTTTTGCAGCATTGTATAGTATAAGAAGATGCTGTTTTGCAGGGTCATATTTATATTTTGTCTTGTGCTCAGAATATTCAGTGCAGTATTATTACTCATTCTGCTGCTGATTTTCGCTTTAAAACTGGGATGGAAATATCACAGTTTGGCTTTACTTGATTTGCATTTATATTTTGCTGAAGGTTAGATTATTCTTTATGCATGATGCAGTTTGTTTTTTCCCCCTTTACAGTATCTAAAAATCTCTCTCTCTCTCTCTCTCTCTCTCTCTCTCTCTCTCTCTCTCTCTCTCTCTCTCTCTCTCTCTCTCTCTCTCCCTCCCTCCCTCCCTCCCTCCCTCCCTCCCCTCTCTCTCCCTCCCTCCCCTCCCCCCCTCTCTCCCCCTCCCCCTCCCCCTCCCCCCCTCTCTCCCTCTCTCCCTCTCCCCCTCTTCCCCTCTCCCCCTCTACCTCTCTCTCTCTCTCTCTCTCTCTCTCTCTCTCTCTCTCTCTCTCTCTCTCTCTCTCTCTCTCTCTCTCTCTCTCTCTCTTTCTCTCTTTCCCTCTTTCCCTCACTCTCACTCTCACTCTTTTGCCTTTTGCTGCCATGCCTTAATTTAGCTATGCATGTTTCCAACAAAGCTTCTATGTGTTATAGCTTTGAATGCTTAGCTTCTAGACAACATATACAAAAGTTCAGCATCCTGTAGCCAATGATAACCGGAACACAGGATGTGAAGGAGATTATATGGGCTTTATTTATTTATTTTTATTTATTATTATTATATTTTACTTTCATTCTTTCTTTCATATGTAAAAAAAAAGAAAGAGATATCTTTGACCTGCTTTCATTTATTTCATAATTCAAATTGTGACTCGCAAGATGAAATTTATTCATGATTAACAGGCTATTGCAGTTCAACCTTCATTTCAAAATACTTGCTTTTACTTTATAGTGAAGAAATTGCCTGATTTAGCAGTGGCTGTAAGATGGCAGATGTATCTATACAGGAAAGGAGGAGATATTGCATATTAAGAAATTATAATGAAGGAAAATAGGTTCTGCTTGGGTATTAATAATATCATCACTTTTATTTAATACTGTGATTGATGAGAACTCTTTGAAGGTAACAAAAAGAAGCATGCAGATGTTAAAAGTGAAGATAATATTTTGGATAAGAAAAAGATATAACATGTGATGATGAGTAGGAATTCCAAATTATATCTGTGCTTTATGGCTAATAAATGTGCATTTCCAAGGAGTAAGCATTAAAGCATGTTAATTATTTTTCTACAAATGCTCTACCCACTTTTTTTTGAGAGAAAGATGTACTTGACAGGTTGATGATTAATGACAAGATAAAGAGGTTGGGGATGACAGTCATTTAATGATTGATACATGTGTTTTGATGACTATATCAAACACAAGAATGCCACTCAGACCTGTTGCATTTTGTCACCAACCTCTCAAGAATTTGTATATAGTATGATGTATGGACTTTCTGTTTTCCAGAGGCATAGATTTTCCATCTGGGTTTTCATATTGAACAATTTGATTATCACAACATCATTTTTATATTTTTCATTGATTTTATTTGCTTCATTATTTTTATATATAATATAATGTTTTTATTTCATTCTTTATAGGATGTAGAGCATTGCCTACACTAAGCTATAGATATTTGTATTGAAGCCTTTTAATTTCATAAAGGAAGTAACAAAAGGTACCATTTCTTTCCCCTAACATGTAGTATATGCATGAGATTCGGAGGACTAACATAGGCTATGTAGATTCTAGAGGATTATTTCGTTTACACATTTTCTTTAATGCTTTAGTCATTAATATTTGATAGTTGGGAAGTGCATTAACATTATGCTTTTAGCATAGGATTTTACTATTGCTATTTTGTCGTAGTAATGTTATTTATAATTTTTATTTTGCCTGTTCACTTTGCTTTAAATGATAATATTATATATTAAAGTTTATGTAGATTAGAACTGTTTTTCTTAAGCTCTAATCCATCATGCACTGAACCTAATTAAATGAAAAATTGCTGTTTTTATTGGTCAAGTATGCCTAAACCTAAAATCCAAGCTTTCACATATAATCAATCAAAAAGTGTCAAGTCCTCAGAGAAGCGTCACTAAGTTGCTGTTGTTGTTGTTTCTCCCTTTAGCGATGAACTCCAGCACTTCCCGGAGGAGAGCAGCAACCGCTTCTTCTCGGCGGTGTATGGAATGGGCTTGAAGAGGTCGAGGGAGAAAGCCAACAAGAACAAGACGTTCGCTAGGATGTGCTGGAAGAATGCAGTCCTCAAGGTAAGTTTTTGGTTTGTCTCTGTTGGGTGTTGCTGTGTTTTGTTTATTTTTTCTTTCTATCTCTCCCTTTCCTTCTCTCTCTCTCTCTCTCTCTCTCTCTCTCTCTCTCTCTCTCTCTCTCTCTCTCTCTCTCTCTCTCTCTCTCTCTCTCTCTCTCTCTCTCTCTCTATCTCTCACTCTCTCACTCTCCCTCTCCCTCTCCTTCCCTCCCTCCCTCCTTTTTTGTTTTTCTTTCTTTCCTAAATCTGAGAAATAGATATAACTATGATTAATTTTAGTGAAATTCACACCTTGTTCTATCTTAGAGGAAAGAATTATAGTAATTAAGATATTGTTAATAACGATAATAATTAGATTTTAAAAAAATCACAGTTTCAGCTCATTTCCGTTCTTTCATGCCTCAGGTGCGTGCCCTAGGAGACCCCTGGGAGAAATTCCACCTGGACACCTACAAGACGGAGAAAGCGCGCCGCCACCGCTACCACGCCCTGAGCCAGACATGGCACATAGATGAGGTCCTGGTCAAGATGGAGGATCAGCCTTTCAACAACGGGGCAATGAGGCAGTGCTTCCGCATGTAAGTGGGCGGCAATTGTGCAATTCCCTTCTCTTATTTGCTAGAAGTTTGTTGGTAGCTGTACAGGTGCACTGAGGTTTTGAAATGTGGATCGGTCTTTGTTTTAGTGTTATATTTGGACTGTTTAGATGGATGAGAAATATGGTGTTTATGATATCAAATTGAATCATGGTTGATGTTGGTTGTTCAGAGCTTGTGAGATGATAGATGCTGAGTCATGAAGAGAACTTTATAAAAAAGAAATAGAATTTTTCCATTGTAGGGTAATGGAGGTATATTTATAGTGCACCACTGATTCTGTGGGATTTTGATAAACCTCCTCTCTAGCTCTCAACAAAATTTGGAGCAAACACTTGAATTTCCTGAAACTACCTGATTAACTGCCATGGTAGATGCAGGTGAAGTTAGGTGTAGTATATTATTGGGCATTATGAATTGGTAAAAAAAAACTAAGTATTAAAAAATACCCAGTTTATATCTATAGGATTTTCAGTTAGGCCTGTTGGTTTGCTAAGATGAGCTCTTTTCACTTATTCTCTCTTTTTCTTTCGTTCTTTTTTCTAGGAAGAAACTGAGCAACTTCAGCCATCAAGACGACTGGGTGAGGGCACACAATTACGTGGCAAAGAACTACATGGACGAGAGTACCCGCAGGTCCACTTATTTTGAGGATGTGAAGCTTCAGGTTGGTAATGCCTTTATGGGGCACTGACATGTGTAGATGATTATAAAGAATATGTCATCTGATGTTTTTTTTTTTTTTTTTTTTTTTTTTTTTTTCATTTATTTTCTCCCACATTCATAATCTTTTTTCATTTGTGACCTTTAATTCCTCTTTTTTTATTTCTCTATTCTTTCCTCTTCCCTATCTTTAGTCTTATATTTCTCTGATATATTGATATAGTTATATTGATATTTTCTTCCATTAGATGGATGCTAAACTCTGGGGTGAAGAATTTAACCGGCACAACCCACCTAAAAAGGTAATTAATAATGATCATAGTGATAATAATAGTAATGATATTGATGGTGATGATGATGATGATGATGATAATTCAAAAGGTTTAAGGTAAATCAAAATGTGTAGAGATACTGGATTGTGAACTTTTCTCATTTCTTTTACGGCTATAGAATTCACTGGTCTCTAAAGTGTCCAATTTTTCTCTATTCAAGGTGGACATCTTTCAAATGTCTGTGCTGGAGATGTTTGAGAGGGAGGGAAGCCCCCTGTTCCACCTGGAGCACTTCATTGAGGGGAAATACGTCAAGTACAACTCCAACTCGGGCTTCGTGCGTTCTGAGGCTCTCAGGATGACTCCCCAGGCCTTTTCACACTTCTCGTTCGAGAGGTAAGATTTTCTCCCTTTCCCCAGGTTTCTTCCTGTGGGCTTGGTTTGTAGATTTTCTTGTGAGTGGTTTGAGAAAGTTAGCTGATTATTGATGCACAAGTTTTCTTTTAATTGTATGACTTTTCCTTCTTTTCTTCCTTTTTTTTTCTTTTTTTCTATCCTTCTATTTTCTTTCTTTTTTTTTTCTTTTCTCTTATTCTTTTCTTTTTTTCCTATCTTTGTCATTCTTCTGTCCCCTCCCTTTCCCCCCTATCATCATTCTCCATGGGTTTTCCTCTTTTTTTTTCTTTCTTTCTTACTTTCTTTTTCATTTTTTCTCTGTCTTCTTTCTTTCTTTCTTTCTTTTAAGATTGTAAGAAATTTACAAAATGCCCTTCTTCTCTCTCAGATCAGGCCACGAGTTGATTGTGGTTGATATCCAGGGTGTTGGCGACCTGTACACAGATCCCCAGATTCATACAGCAAAGGGTAAGAGAGTTTGGCTGTGTTTATTTTCTCAGTTCATTATCAGTTTGTCTACTGGTTGTTGAGAAAGCAGTCATCCCAGTTAATTAGAAATATGGATGCACAACTGTTTTGTAAAGATTACCTTTGATAGAATGGAATAAAGTGCCCAAAGTAATTCTGTGCAATATATTCCAGATGATAAAGACAAACATGCATTTACTGGGCGATTTTATGTCTGTCTTTTTGCCTACACAATAGCTTTGTAAACTCTCTGTAGTTTGGTATCCTTGCATTTGCCCAGAAGCTTGCTCTAGAGTCAGAAAGGAATTATATTTCAACTGGAAATTCAGTTTCAGTTTATGATAATGACCAATTTTTCAGGCTCTGATATTGCTGAGAAATAGACAAGAAGCATTAACTTCTTTTACATCATTATTATTATTAGTGTCTTTTTCTCACAATAATGTCATTCACAGCTCATATGTATTTGGTATATTTGCTGGTTTTATTTATTCCAAAAAATGGATATGTAGTTTAGTAGGTAGACTGATAAGTAACTAGGTAGTTACGTAGATTGATTTAGGTCAGTAAGTAATGCTACTGCTTTAGCAACAAAAGCATCTTTTTTTCTTTTTTCTTTTTTTTTTTCTGAAATAGGTGATGATTACGGTGATGGAAATCTCGGCACACGTGGCATGGCCCTGTTCCTGCACTCGCACAGGTGCAACACCATTTGCAAGAGCCTTGGCCTCACCCCCTTTGACCTGGCTCCCTCAGAAATGAAAGCCAATGAGCACAAGCTCAACCTGGAGGTGAGAAGTAGTGTTTTGTATTTAGGTTTGATGATACCTCTTATCTTTTTGTTTTTTAAGGTTTTTATATGCATACATACAAGTTTCGGTATTTATAGTGTGCCTGAGAACAGCAAGAGTTTTATAGTATAATAGTACGTAGAGTGTCCAACAATCCTAGTTTACAGTTGTGTTAGAGAGATCTGGATAGGGAGGACAATAGAAAAAAAGAAAAAAAACATATGATTATAATATCTGCACACAGTCTGGCAGAAAAAAAAATACTCAAGGCACCCTACTTCACATTTCAGTCATGTAAGACCGTCGCTCGCGGGACAGAAGAGATCGTGGTTACTCCATCGGAAGAGGAAAAAGGGCACATCCAGGAGTATATCCGCATGCGATCCTTGTCGCAGGGTTATGGATCAGGGGACGAGAAGCCGAGGATCAAGCTGAACTCCATTAGCTCCGTTGACTCATTGGTAAGAAGGCAGCACGTTTTAGTGTCCGTTGTTATAGTCATTCTGATATTTGATTTATACCATTCTTATTCATTCTACCATATTTTAAGAAATATATTTTGGTATAAAACATTTTCGACAGATTTATTGTACTATTTTTTGTAGTCTTTTGTCTTGAGCTCTCACATTGCTTATTTGTTACAATGCAGTTCTTTCATTGCATTCAATTCCATCAAGTAACCACTCACTTTACCACAACCAACAGGAAAGCGACGACTTCCACATCATGTCAGAGAGTGAGGACTCGGCTGTGGATTCTGCACGTAGGGAGCGCCGTGGCCCGGATGTGAGGCTGCGGTTTGACTCTACCTGCGACTCTGGGACAGATACCTTGAACAAGGAGAAGGAGATGCTGCAGGTTAGAGGAGAAATTGGTTTTATTTTTCATTATACAATATTTTCTTTCTTTTTTTATGTATATACTTTTTTTGGTGACTGTCCTCTTCTTTATCTTCTTCCTTGTTATCTTCCTTTGCTTCTTTCTTTCCTCCTCCTACTCCTCCTCCTCCTTCTCCTCTGCTTCTTCTCATCCTCCACATCTGTATCTTCCTCTTTATCCTCTTTATCCATAGTTTTCCATGTCAAGGTCATTCAAAAAGGTTTGATCACCATGTAGAATAAATGAGCGTTTTTAGAGTTTGTTTGCCAGCTGAACCTTTTTTTCTCATCTTGCAGTTCAAGGAGATGGTGCAGCGTAAGGCACGTCCGTCTCACGTGCTGGGGGAGATGGAGCACAGGCGGTTGGTGGAGACACTGGAGGAGAACCACAACAAGACCGGTGGCTCCATTCTTGGGCAGGTGGGTAGATGGGTAGATGTGTAGGTGGGTGTATGGGGAGTTATTAGAACTTGAGAAGTTAGGGCATGATGTTCCTCGAGACTTATTTCAAAGTTGTAAAGGGTCTGAGGGTTAATCAGGTTATAGAAATCTCAATATTCTTAACCCTGTTAGAATGCTTGCTATTCTTTAAATTGTGTGATTTACTTCAAGAACCATTCAGGATGGATATGCCTATTTTCTGTATTTATCTTTATCCTCATCCATATTCACAGGTACATTTGGACCTTGCAAAGTACCACGAACTCAGCAGGTTCGTCGAGGAATCTGAAACATATGACCGCGAGGCAGCTATCTTCCACGTGGACCAAGCTGCCAAGTGCGGCATCCTTGAGGCCATCAAGACCATGGCAAATCTGCACTTGGGTCTCCAGCATGATATTCTACCAGACATTGAGGCAAGTTTTGTTTACTGAATTTGAGTTGATTGGTGTGTCTCATGGGGTGTTTATGCCCGTGTTTTTCCCAAAGTGATAAGATTTTGCTCTAATTATCTGATATGATTCCTAGATTCAGACATCTTTTATAATAGATTCTTAGAACAGCAGAAACTCGCATAATCGTAGGCATAACCCGTACATTGAAGATATTTATTCCTTTTCTGTAGCTTGATGAAAACAGGCAAGATGCTGAGGCTGGGTTTGATTACCTGATCACAGCAGCTGAAGCCAAAGATCGTGCTGCCATGATTCACGTTGCCAAGGCCTATGAAACAGGTGTAGGACTCCCATCCACCAGGTGAGTGTATGCTGCTGTTTTCATGTTTATGGTGGAGTCAGAGTTGATATTTGAATGGTAATGAGGACAGGAATGTTTTATGATGATTCTTCCTGTATCTTCTAGCCAAATTTTAACTGCAATTTTACACCAGAGTCCATGGAATGGACTTCGATTGCCAGTTTGATAGAGAAGTTTGCTGAGTCATGTATCTCTCTTTATAATTGAAACATCCCATTTGTTCCTTTGGAATAGATAATTACTGTCTTGTGTGACCTCTTCCAGGGAAAAGGATTGGGTCAAGGCTGTGTACTGGCTGGAGAAAGTGGTGAATACAAACTCAGAGGATGAGGAAGGTGATTTCAACTCCACCCTGGATGATCCTTCATATCAACTGGTGGCAAAGGAAGCCATGATGTATTGGTCTGGGGGCCATGGCCTTGCAAAAGACCCAAATAAAGCTGGTAAGTTTTGCTCTCATTAGAGGAGTCTGTAGATGTATTACATTGATAACATTTACTTTCCTCCTGTTATTTTGCTTCCTCTGTTTTTTCGTTCTTTCTTTCTTTTTTTACCCCGTCCTATCACTGCTTTCTTTTGTCTTGGGCTGAGCATTGCTTAGTCTTACACAATATGAATGTATATTGGGAATCTTTATTTTTTGTATGTATATAAAAGTTTAAGGAAATGGCCAGGATTTATCATGTAAGAAAGCAAAGGCTGTCAGATGATAGCATACCCAACCCTCTTTGCCAAATAGGCTGTTGATATATATATTTAGGTTATAGTTTTGTGTGTGTGTATTCTGAAACAACTTCCAGATTTTGTATGTTGAAAAATCCCTTTTTTAAAATTTCCAGGAGAACTTTTCAGTTGGGCTGCAGAGCTTGCTACAGAAGCCATGAAAGGCAAGTTGGCATCCAAGTACTACATGCAGGCAGAGGAGGCTTGGGCAGAGTGTGATGTGGAAGAGTAAGGAGAAGAGGACTTCCATACATGAAGAAGTACTTCAGAATGTAACTCGCAAAAATGAGGACAAATGAGTTACTGCCGTGGAGAATTCTTCAGGTGCTAAAATGCCATGTGATAGTGGGATCACAGTAGACTAGTTTTTTTTCATTACTTTTAGGGTTTATACTTTGCGAATACTTTTGGCACCATGTTTACTCCCTCCATTTCTTGAGGAAAATGAGCGGATTACACAGCTATGGGGAAGCGATACTTTATGTTGAAAGTCACGAGGGATGTTTCACCCTCGTTTTCCTTTCAGAGGCCCCCATGGTTTCATTTCCCTTTTTGTCCTCTCTCTTTTTGATATAGAATCCCTGAATGCTAGTCATATGTTAAGTGTTTTTATGTCTTTTTTTTTTTCTGTCTTTTTTTCTTTCTTTTCTTTTTTTTTTTTTTGTACCCAGTGATTTTGAAATACAGTGATATCAAGCTGGCTTTTTATTATCAGATTCAGAATGGGTAGATTGCAGTGTAGCTCCCTTTCTTTCTTTCTTTCTTTCTTTCTTTCTTTCTTTCTTTCTTTTTTCTGTTTTGTTTTTCTTCTTCATTCTTTTTCTTTTCTTTTTCTTTTCCTTTTTTTTCTATCTTTTTTTATAATTTTCTTTCATTCAATTTTAGTTGTTTATTAATTTTACATCATCTTTCCATCATTACTACATAATTCCATATTGTTTGGGTTATTTTACGAGAGATTCGCTGTTTGTATCTCATATAGCAGGTCAGTGTGAGCTCTCCTCTGTGCTACTACCTTTTGCTCACTCCTTTCCTTCTCCACATTTGTTTAGTGTGGATACAACATATATGTAAGAAAAAAAGGAAAAAGAAAATATTTTTTGCTATCAGAATGACTACCATATTTACAGGTGTTGTCTCATAAAATATGTAATGTATATAGGTACACTTAGTTACAAATGCCAGCAGAATGCAGAATGATATGAATTTCTATTGCCTTTGTATTCCTTTATTTTGTGCTTTGGTAATGTTTAAGGAATCATGTATTTTCCATGATTGTTGTTTTTGGCAAAGAAGCTAAACCACGAAGGGAAATATCCGGACGTTTTATAATGCGGAGTTCCTTTTTGTACACTTCCACATTAAGCATAAGTCTTTTTAGGGTTAATCATCTGTGTCTTATGGTATTTACCTTTTTTCCTCCTCTTTCATGCATCACTTTTAGTTTTATGTTTCATTCTTTTTTGACAAATGATGTAATCCAAGTAATGGTTATCTGTATTTTGCTCTCATCAGTGACATTGTCATCATCATTATCATCATTTTACTCATGTGTCCATAACACTGCCATTAGTTCAGTTCTATCACTCCAGTTTTGACAAGTTTGTTTATACAGTTTTATTTGCTCAGAATACAAACTTCTGAAGGCCAGTTGGGTAGAATTCTTATGCCCCTTGTTAGTAGACACATTTGAATTTCTCAGTGGTCTTTAAAAGCTTCTCTTCACCCATGAAGCGACTGCAAGGGTAAGTCAAGACCCAGCATCAATCATGGCATTGCATTTTTTGATGCTAGGGAGACTGGCTTATGCCATGTGCCATAGCTTGCGTGGGTTTCCCCACATGTAAACATCTCATTTTTAATGATGCTACAAGTATAAATACTTTTTGCTAGAGGTGCCTGTTGCATTGTGGGAAATGTTACTCTTCAGTTTGATGATGACTGTCATTTTTTCTGTCCATGGTTGTGATGAACCACTCATCAAGGTGAATGTACTTAGATGTGCTCTCTTTCACTGGCTAATATTTTTTACTGAATGTTTATGTACGTTCAATTTGATAACTTTATAGACTTTAAGATTGCAGTTACAAATTACATATGGAAATGCTAACCCAAGTTGTAGTTAGCTGTGAAAAGGTGAAAAATGCCTGTTTGAAATATTTTCCTTTAAGAATGACCAATTATTTTGTCTTTTTGTAAGTACATACTATGTTTACTCCCTTTTTCTTAAGGGAAACAAAAAAAGAAGTTGAAATATACATGTCAGAATCACGTGAATAGACATGTATGATGGATTGTTCCTGCTGATAGTGTATTGAAATGGTAAATGATTTAGTAATCAGTCTCATTCTGTTGTCTTCCGAGTTATGATTTGAAGGTTGCTGCTCTTCTGATGTTTGAAGGAAAAGAGTTTGTCAAGAATATAGATGGCTTTTATTTTTGGCCTTTTGATATATAAAGGGATAGGAATTTAGTGGACTATATATGTAGATTACATGTACTATTTGCGGTGTAAGGTAATAGCCAGTGCTAGCTGTTGGTGCTTTTCCTGTTGCATATGTTTCGTGTTGACAGGGCAGTTGCTCCAGCAACAGGAATTGGCTGTAGCAGAATGTATAGCATTGCAAGGATGTGCATTATTTAAGCATCTGGGATCACATTGCATTACATGAGTCTATTTTTAACAAGCTGTTGCATATATCTTGTTTACTGGCATAGTTTATGGTAAAAGAAGAACCTTATTCTTCAGATTAGAAGAATGTATTTAGTATGGATGAGGAACGGTTCTGGGTGTTTGCACAGTGTTATTTCTTTTTTTTTGTGTTCATTGATCTTGATGGAATCTGTATAATTTCTATAGATAACATCTTCAGGTGCTCTTGTATTGTAGCACAAGAGATAACAGATACTGATTTGTCCTTTCATTCTGTTTATTCTGAGATTAGATAAGTTTATGATGGTGGAAGGCCACTGTTCTGTACAAGTGGTTTTCCAATATGTATTTATATCTGTGATTGTATTGTGAGGTCTGTTCCATATTATTGTTTTGCCTCCCTTATACTACATAAAAGTACAAATAAAAAGCAGTGCATACAAGAATCTGTAGAGCTTTCAGTGGCCTTCATATTTTAATATTCATGAATTCTGTGTTGGATAAACAGAATATTAAAGAAACAGACATGTGATATAGAGTATCTAATTGTATATTTTCAATTTTCATGACAATTAGATTGATTGATTGATTATAGAATTTACATAAATCAGAGACCCATGATAGGCTCTATAAGCTTTCTCATAATAACTTTGGGGATTTTCTCACTTGTATTAGTGTTCTTTCACTGAATGTCATAACATAGCAAGTGTGCAGTACTTATTTGAAGATTTATAACTGAGTGAACCCAGAAGTGAGCGACAGAAAATCACAAACAGATTTTGTCTGGTACAAGTATATGTTTTGACCATTAACCATTTTGGAAGAAAGTTTTTTTGTTTTCTCTCTTTTCTTGAACACACGGAATATACAAAGAAAGCAAGGAGGAATATTAAACAATATACAGAAGTCACCTACATCTCAATTTCCTCTTTGTCACAGGAATGAGATAAAAAAAAATAGACATTAAATTAAAACAATAAACTTAGAGAAAGAGAGAGACAGAGAGACATAGAGATGGAGAGAGAGAGAGAGAGAGAGAGAGAGAGAGAGAGAGAGAGAGAGAGAGAGAGAGAGAGAAGGAGGGAGAGAGGGAGATCCCCAATGTAGTGGTCCTCTGCCCTTGCCTCAACTAATTCTACATAGTCTTTTCTTCTCCTCCTTTCCTTTTCCTTTTCTTCACCCGTTTGTTCTCTCCACTTATCCGTATTCGCCACAATGCTTTATCATAATGCCCCCTACTCCCTTCACTCCATTCTCTTCTAACAAACAACCTTTACCTTATGCTCTACCCCATCAGCTCCCCCTCTCTACCCTTTTCGCTACCATATTGCCCTGATAGTACTGTAAGTTTACCCTAATCATCAACACATGCCTAACCTTTTTCGCTACTATACTTTAATAAAACGGCGCTTATGGCCTTTGATATCATATAAAACCTCACGCTATCGCTATGTTTTTAATACGCCGCTAATGACCTTAGATGTTGTCGCGGCAATTTTTGTTTTAATAAATAGACAGTAATAAAGACAGAGACAGAGAGAAAGAGAACGAAACAGAACAAGAAAGAGAACGAGAATGAGAAAGAGAAAGAGAAAGAGAACGAAACAGATCAAGAAAAAGAACGAGAACGAGAACGAGAAAGAGACCGAAAAAAGAGAAAATGAAAAAGAACGAGAGCGAGAACAAGAAATACACAAAAAAAACAGACAGACAAGAAAAAAAATCCTCCTCCTCCTCCTCAACCACAACTACCGAAGTTCCCCCCAAATCCCGTTTTCTTCTAGCCCATTTGTTACACCGAAGAGAGTCCGTCGGTTCACTACTTCCCCAGCATTGAAGTTTCCTGTGGGTGTCGGCTGCACTTTCTCCCTTTTGAAACTCTTTATTATGACCTTAGGGGGTGCGAATACGGCTAATGGGTATTCAGGTAAGATGTGTAATTCGTATTTATTGTATTTGTTGTATTTCAGAGTTTCTGTGATGAAGGTGTTGGTTAACAGACTGTAGTGGAGGAAACGTCATGCAAGATTGAATGGAGATTTTAAGATTTTGTATCATTTGGGTTTATGTTACACTGGGAATTCTCGTTTTCGTCCTCTGGTTTATTTTTCTAATGCTCGAATCATGAAAATGCGGTCATATAAGCCAAAGGAATGTGTCTAAGAGAGGACACCAGATTACTCATAATTCCGTTGATTTTTGTGTGTTTATTATTTTTTCGGACAATATGTAGTATAAGGGTAATGAAACCTATATGAAATGATAGAACAATACAAACCAAGACAAAGTTCCTCTATGGCAATATGTGTACAAATGCTTCCTAAGGCTGCTATACGTAAAAGAAAAGAGAAGATCCCCAATTTTGGCTAAGGCGCTCATCTTGTTTACATTGTGAAGGTGAATTCTAGACGGGGGTTCAGGGGGCGTAGCCCCCTAGCTAGGCATATATATTACCACGGGAGTCCAGGAATATATATCACGGTGTTAGGTTAGGTTGTATGTTGGGTTAGGATATTTTGTTTAACAATCACAGAGGTCCTGTTTTACCCCATAATTTCCCAGATATACTTCATGACATCCCCTATTATCGGGACTATCAAATCAAGATTGTCGATGGAGATGGTGATTATATCTCCTCAACGATTCACTTGCACAAGGAACAATGCCTAGAATTGTTGAAAGCAGTGAATTTCATGCAGAAAAGTATCAAAATTGTTTCGAAAGTAACCCACTACCCTCTTCTACATATTGACCCTGCCACTACCTTATACTACAATTAGGGCGTTGTGTTTGTGTGTTTGAGTTTGTGCGTGTGTGTGGTTGGGTTAGGTGCGTGGGGGTGGGTGAGGTTGAGGGAAAGAGAAAGAAAATAAGAGAAAGAAAGAGAAAGAGGAATAGAGAGAAAGCGAAAGGGACATAGAGAGAGAAAGAGAAATAGACAGTGAGAAACAGAGAAAGATAAATAAAGAAAAAGGTTATCTAAATACCGAAACTGTAATATTAATTACAGTAATTATAAAGAGATTATATATTTTTTTTTATTAAATTTAATATATCACCAAGCCAGAGTAATTAATAATAAATGCTTTGTTTTTCTAACATACTAGCATAAATACCTGCCAGTCTCACATTTATATTTTTATTCTTGAAGATATTTTTAAAAAGATTCATCCAACTAGTAATCCAGTTATTTGCATGTCCTCATTTTAACAAATTAACTAAATTATTATTTCATTTCTGTATGTTAATGCTAAACACTTGGACTTTCATATATACTATTAAAGATTATGTGGATGCCTTACTTTCAATATATGTTATTTCTCTGCTTTTCACCTTATTATCAGTTTGACTTTGAATTTGAAAGACTCCTTCTTTGTCAAAATCATATGGGCTATCATAAAACCAGAATTTGAAATTGATTTCTTGTTTTTATAATGTTAATATATACTTGAGACTAGAGAATGCTTTACATATTTTAGATGGCATTGTTTTTTTGTTGATAATTTTAGATTTTGAAATACTGATGAAAGCTAGCATAGCAATTCTGAATTTTATGCTTTAACTTATATTAGATATGAATTAGATTTTTTTTCACTTAAATTGATTGACATTAGTATCATCATGATTGATATTTTTTCCATACCTGTTATTATTTCCTCATGAGTTGCTTTTGTCATCTAATTTACACTGTATTTCATTGTTGTTTGAAGTTTTATCATTATCATTACTGTGAATTATTACTTTTATTTCTGTCATCATTGTCTTATTATTGTTCTTACTGTTAACAGTATTATAATGGGGGGGGGGGGGGGGGGGGGGGGGGGGGGGGGGGGGGGGGGGGGGGGGGGGGGGGGGGGGGGGGGGGGGGGGGGGGGGGGGGGGGGGGGGGGGGGGGGGGGGGGGGGGGGGGGGGGGGGGGGGGGGGGGGGGGGGGGGGGGGGGGGGGGGGGGGGGGGGGGGGGGGGGGGGGGGGGGGGGGGGGGGGGGGGGGGGGGGGGGGGGGGGGGGGGGGGGGGGGGGGGGGGGGGGGGGGGGGGGGGGGGGGGGGGGGGGGGGGGGGGGGGGGGGGGGGGGGGGGGGGGGGGGGGGGGGGGGGGGGGGGGGGGGGGGGGGGGGGGGGGGGGGGGGGGGGGGGGGGGGGGGGGGGGGGGGGGGGGGGGGGGGGGGGGGGGGGGGGGGGGGGGGGGGGGGGGGGGGGGGGGGGGGGGGGGGGGGGGGGGGGGGGGGGGGGGGGGGGGGGGGGGGGGGGGGGGGGGGGGGGGGGGGGGGGGGGGGGGGGGGGGGGGGGGGGGGGGGGGGGGGGGGGGGGGGGGGGGGGGGGGGGGGGGGGGGGGGGGGGGGGGGGGGGGGGGGGGGGGGGGGGGGGGGGGGGGGGGGGGGGGGGGGGGGGGGGGGGGGGGGGGGGGGGGGGGGGGGGGGGGGGGGGGGGGGGGGGGGGGGGGGGGGGGGGGGGGGGGGGGGGGGGGGGGGGGGGGGGGGGGGGGGGGGGGGGGGGGGGGGGGGGGGGGGGGGGGGGGGGGGGGGGGGGGGGGGGGGGGGGGGGGGGGGGGGGGGGGGGGGGGGGGGGGGGGGGGGGGGGGGGGGGGGGGGGGGGGGGGGGGGGGGGGGGGGGGGGGGGGGGGGGGGGGGGGGGGGGGGGGGGGGGGGGGGGGGGGGGGGGGGGGGGGGGGGGGGGGGGGGGGGGGGGGGGGGGGGGGGGGGGGGGGGGGGGGGGGGGGGGGGGGGGGGGGGGGGGGGGGGGGGGGGGGGGGGGGGGGGGGGGGGGGGGGGGGGGGGGGGGGGGGGGGGGGGGGGGGGGGGGGGGGGGGGGGGGGGGGGGGGGGGGGGGGGGGGGGGGGGGGGGGGGGGGGGGGGGGGGGGGGGGGGGGGGGGGGGGGGGGGGGGGGGGGGGGGGGGGGGGGGGGGGGGGGGGGGGGGGGGGGGGGGGGGGGGGGGGGGGGGGGGGGGGGGGGGGGGGGGGGGGGGGGGGGGGGGG